ATCCGGCAGCATTTTCTCACCTACGTCCACACTGTCTTCTTTAATGATGAATTAATTTGCTCTACATACTTCTGAAGTCACTCCATGATTACTTCAAACAGAAAGTTTCACCAATGAACCTATTTTAACAAGACTTTTATTGAAAACATACACAAAGTCAACACGTTATTTAGCTTCTGAATGTACATATTAGTGAATATTCATAATAGAGAAGAATATTTTAAGAAAAAGGGAAATACAACTGACATGCTGCAGTTTATATTTTACTAAGGCATTTAGGCTTAAGAGCAAGTTATGCTGTGTGCATGTGTATCTATATACACAAACACAGAAATACACACACAGGTTATCTGATTTGAAACTGTACAGTTCTATGCAATTCATTATTTTTTGCCTTTTCTATTTTTAGAACACAAAATAAAGCTTTTATCCAAATGGTAGAAGTTGTTCACAGAACAGCAGTTATAATCTACTCTTCAAGAGTTTGCTTACAATTACAATACTAACGATGCACAAAATACCCCCGAGATCTTCACGGGAAAGTTCTCTCTTACCAAAATGAGGCTCAAGTAAGAAAAACACTAGTTTGCAAAGGCACCGTGGAGACAGGTTTTAATACATTAAATACAACATGAATCATTCACAATAACAAGTTTAGTGTTTCTGGGAACTTTTGTAAATACAACACAGTTGGTCACACAAAAATGTTTCTGTTGATTTGTCTTGGCAACTCAGATATATCAACAGTGTAACAGCATAACAGCTTTGTTCCCATCTGACAGAAAATAATGGCAGTTCTGCAAGGCAAACGTTAAACCTGACCGTATGTATTTATTAATTCCACAGTGTTTTGACAGATTATAGGGGATGCAACTTAAAGGATGCTGACACGCTCACTGAGGGCTTTCATTTCTGTTTCTTCTAGCTTGGTGTTTTCGTTATGGTTAGCACTTGGACTGATAAGGTGTGCTGGATACTGCAATCCATGTTCTTCTGAATACTGTTCCCACCGGGAGTCATCACTTTCATGGGTGATGTAACGTTCCCCCATTTTACATTCCAGTTCCCTTAAATCTAACCAGGTTTGGTAGTCCTGAAAAAGAATAACAGTATTACTTTTAGATTTCCTAAAATAAATTATATTCCCTTCTGCTATCAATAACACTCAAAGTGCTATTAACTCAGCTAAGAGTCATGCCTATTCCTCTACAATGGAAAAAATCTTATATAAATGTGAAATCAGTCTAAAGATATAAATTTCATCTCTAGAGGATTTTTTGATAAGTTGATTTTATTGAATTGTCACAAGTATAGTATTGAGATGTTACAGGTTGTTTTGCAAAATATACGGGTATGTATAGATTGCCATAATATCTAACTGAGGCACGGTGGTAAAGTAATTCCTTCCTCTAGTCACAAGATAAGGAAGAAGAAACATCTTTAAATTATACATGTACATTCTAGTGATCTCTATCAGTCAAGACAGTCGAGTCTGTATCTCAGTATAATCATGCAGAACATACATTCAGATTGGGCTAGGAAAAACTCCTTTTCCGAACATGGGCAATTACTGGCTTGCTCAAAGAAATGTATATATCTAAACAATAAGGTAGTTTGGAACTCCATGTTGACAGCCAAATGTAAGGATGGAAGTTAGTTTGAGTCTCATGCTGTTTAGACCATCATGTACTGCAGCCTCTTATCTGTCCAAAGTAAGCAAGTTTAATAATTTATTTTCTTATTCCCACCCAAAGCATGCATGAAGTTTCAGTAATAGAGCCAATACTAGTCCCATGCAGACTCATCTCTCCTCATGATCCTGTATCCAGTTTTCTTTTTTCTCCATCTTGTCTCAGCCTAAGACACAATCCTAACCACATAGCCAAAGTACCAGAAAGCCCAAACACAGTAAATGCATAAAGCTTTCATCTTCAGCATCTCATATACTTTGGCCCATTTTTAGAGTCATCACCGTCCTGTAAGAAAATTAATCAATTATCTTTCCTTAGCCTGCAAGGTAGGACTCTTGTAGAGAGAGGACTCATCCCAACCCTGGTGCTAGAGCTGCTGCTGATCTGCCTCATCTTAGTTCACCTCCACTTACTACTACACAAGCAATAGAAGTGGATCCAGATGAGAAGGACCCTGTCCTGTCACGTGAAACAGACAGCAAACATCCTTGCTGCAGACCTTAGCCCAGACATTTCTAGTCCTCAAAGACTCAAGGCAAATGCATCCTGCAATGGTTGCCAGGGAGAAGAAGAGTCTTGCAGGAAAAAACTAGTGAGAGACAGGAAATCTGAGAGGAAGAAAGCAAGCTCCAGATAAATGTCCCTGAGAAAGGGGGGGTGCAGCAAGGGCAGTTAGAGCCCTTTATCTCCTATACCAGAAGGTCACCATCTACTTTATGACACAGTATCAGCTATAAGATACCAAAATAGGACTCAGTTTTCTGGTTTGATAAAGATTCCTTTGGGACTGGGGATTATGTATCTGGTCTAGGCCATGCCTGTGCCATGATGACTTTCCTAGATACAAACAAAGCTCCCTTGAGAGATCCGACAGGCTGATGCATCTGTCTGGCCTCAGCCTGTCCTCATCTCCAGGGAGGGACACAATGCCCTGGCCTGGGCTGTCCCCAGGCTTCCCAGCTCCTTGGCTGGGGAGATGGGACAAGCCCTGGCTCCTCCCTGCTTTGTCTCAGGCCTTAAAGTTGTAGCGATTTTGCTGCTGCCAGGATAAAAAAAATTACCATATCATATGGTGAGCACAAGACAGAGACTGCCGACTTCTTAGAAATTCCTTATATCTCAGCTTTTAGTTGAAGAATTCAGCTGAATGTGGTTAGTGTATTTTCCTGGCAAGCACACAATTTCACTAGTTTTTGTGATGACTGTGAAGTGAAAGCCCATTGAATAATTTTAATAAGTGAATCAGAGTAAATTGTAGGCAATGAAATAATGTAAGTCAAATGGCTACAAGGAGTTTTCTTATATACATAATTTTTTAAGTAGAAAAAAATAATAAAATATTTTAAAATGTATTTTGACAGCATAAGACTGTTTAGTACTGTAATCTAATACTTCAGAAATTAATGAGGTAAATCGGTGAATGAGCATGAGGTTCTAAGGACATAAAAACATCTGCAGGTTTGTAGATTTTTGTAGATTCTATTGTGCTGTTGAAGATTTGTTATATGTTTAGAGTCTAAACAGGAAAGGAAAAAATATGGAATTTGTAGAAATACCTGCAACCATGGGTGGCTTAAGGTTTTGTCCACACTGTAGCGCTTTCTCATTTTCACTTGCAATAAATTATTTATGAGATCAATAGCTGAAAAGAAATAATATTGGGAAATGTTAGTTCAAATGTATTTGTTTCAACCAGAACATGCAAACAGAGAGCTACACAGACATGGTAGGTGTAAAAAGAGGCCATTCATCCCTTCTTACTCCCCTTTTACAAATTGCAGCCAATGCTTATGTATCTGAAGGCACCCATGCAACCCTTCCTAATGGGATTACAATTCTTTTACTGAGCTGGTGCCTGAAAATAATTCTCAAACTGATCCTGCTCAGGAGAAAAGAAAACTCATGTAAGTGAGGTCTACAGTTGTGTGATTTGACACACGGATGCAGAGGATGAGCAACATTTGGCATAATAAATTGAGTTTTCCTACACCAACATTTGTGGCAGCAAGGTGAAAGGTCACTTTGAGTAAAAATATTCCCTCATGGCCAAATCTTCCAGTTTTAGCATTTTCTTCCCAAGAACAGTATTCTTCAGGTACCACAGTAAACAATATACATGTATATATTTTTCTGAGACTTTCAGTGTCACTTTTAGCTGACAGCAGCACTTTACTAGTCCCTGAGTGGAGAAATCAGGTTTTGTAAGTCATCAAATCTTGCAATACTATTCTTTTGAACAGAGCATTGCTTCTACTTGCTAGTCAACAGTTGGAAGTTTCAGAAAAGTGAGAGGGCTTCTTTTTAAAATGTAATGATTCACTGAGGTATGCAGAATCAACAGAACGGTTTAAGTTGGAAAGGTCCTTAAAGATCCAACTCTCCTACCATGCACAGGGAGACCTTCTACTAGATTTGCATTGCTCAAAGCCCTGTCCAACTTGTTTTTGAACACTTCCACAGATGGGGCATCCACAACTTCTCTGAGCAACCTGTCCCATTGTGTCATCACCCTCACAATCAAGAAGTTTTCCTAATATCCAGCCCCTTCCTAATAACCAACCTAAACCTACTCTCTTTCAGTTAAAAACTACATGCCCTTGCAAAAGGTCTCTCTTCAGCTCTCTTGTAGCTTCCTTTAGGTAGTTCAAGGTGCTATATGGTCTCCTCTGGAAACTTCTCTTCTCCAGGCTGAACAAACCCAACTCTTTCATCCTGTAGATATGTGTGCTGTGGTGCCTGAAGGGATGAGACCCATGAGCTAATGACCAGTGCATGGAACTACAATGAGTGACCCATTTGGAAAAATCTCTGGAATAAGATTGATGAGCTTTGAATGCAATTACAGAAAAAAAAAAATTAAAAAAATGAGGCTATAATGAAAGGTTAAATCCTATTAGGTGGTGCTAAATGTTCAGCATGTGTTCTGGTGGAAACCTACTGTCATTCCAGAATTACTGACTAGCCACAAGGAATGATAATATTCCTGTAATTTTTCCATTACATCACATTATCCCTTGGCATGTCCAAAGTATGCTGGTTTACATCTTTATTTCTCTCTATCACAGAGACAGGGAAAGATGGTCTTGAAATTAACAGACACATGGCATCACTGAGGGGCACTGAGTCTGAAACACTGGGTCAGATGGATATTGTTGCCAGCTGGGTATTAAAGGAGCTGAATAACCATCTTGTCTGTTTTAAAGAGTATGAGATGGAACAGAATTCTTTAAACCTATTATCTCTGAGGTTGTATTTTGTATAACAATGTGGAAAAGCTTTTCTTTATTAACAGAGACTTTCTCACTGCAGGCTCCATTTGCCATCTAGGGCTTTACGTGTGCTTTTGCCACGGGGCAGAGCACAATGAAAACAACATCCAGGAAAATGGGAATGGACATGGAAGTCTATCTGAATTTATGCAGTAAGTTTGACAGACAAAACTATTCTTGGTGATAGAAGACTATCACTAAAGCAGCTCTGACTTCCTGGTGGTGAATACTGTCTTGGAAATCAAAGCAATCATGGGAACAACGGAAAATAAATCTCAGGACTTTTGAGAAAGAAAGCATTGCCAGAGACTCTGAGCCATTCTTTTCCTGGAACAGATGGTCCTAATTTTACTTTTCTATTGTGGACAAACAGATTCTTATCTACTGACTCTTTTAGTATCAAGTACAGTTAATGCTAAATTCTTTAACTCTTATTTTGTTCCCTCTCAAAATGCTGGTGAACTGTATGTGCAGTAAGAAAGTCAGTGGATATCCAGTAGGATCATTACTGGCAGATGGCGAAATTCTTAAAACTTAATTTGTTTTCCAAAATAGTGGGTTTAATCTTCTTTCTCTTTATTAATAGGAGACGTTCTCAAGTTCAAGCTATGGGGAAGAGACTAGGAATCAGTCATACACAATGGTTTTGATACCACCTATCAAAAAGTAGTGACCATTGTTTTTATCTCATGTTTCAAAGAGGAAAACATAATCCCTCACCCACAGCAGTATATCTGTGTATCAACAAACATCAGCATCTTCTGCAACACTGTCCAACTTACCCCTAAATTCAGCAGAATTACAGTAAGACTTCAGTCTGTCTTTTGATACATAAGCCAGTGCTGAATGTGAATTTAACGGGGCTACAGTTTCTTTATTCTTTTCAGTGGTATTTTGGTGTGTATGACCTTCAGAGTTCATTTTTCAATTATTTACTATGAATCTCAGTTTGGAAAATAGGCCAAGAACTTGATGAAAGGGTGGATTGTCCTGGTAACTGCTGCAATGTTGGTGCACATATCCCAGCATGAGACTCAGTAACTGTCAAGTACCTACTGAATGTTCTTCCTGCCTCTGAGGGTTGATAATGTCTCTATTACATTCCTTCTGTGCAACCCACTGGAAGCAGATATGACTGTGAGCCTCACAAGTGATGAAATCATATTTAGCTCTTCAACCTCCCTCAAGTTACAACAGGACGAGGGGCCCCTTGGCTTCTTTTTTCACTTCAGGACAAGGATGTATTACATGTAATAACATATTTCTTTGTATTCTTGGGGGAAATTACCAATGGTTGAACAGACCAGAAAGGCACTGGTCTAGAAAAAAAATCACTACAGAAGGTGCACAAAAAAAGACAGGAAAGCAAACTATGATGAGAGTGAAAAGGCAGTTCTCCCTAGATTGTTACAATTGTCACTATTGAGCAGTTGAGAACAGTTTACACAGATAGTCTGCTTGTTTCACCACTGCAATATTGCTGTCTCTGTAGCCAGTTTTGCTGTTTGTTTTCAGCTTTTTATCTAGAGTTCTTTTTGTCAGGGAAGTTTTGCCTATCCCCTGCCTCTTAAGAAACAAGCACAAATAAATAAATAATCAGAAATGCAACATGACTATTAGAAGTACACATGAAGTAGAAACTCAAACTATCTGATACAATTTTATTTGCTTTTTTACTCAAAGTTTTCAAACTTAGGTGAAGGAAGAAAATACAAGCTTCAACAGCAAAGCGTCTTTCCTACTTTTTATCAGGAATCATGCAATTCAAGAAATGCCACTTCTTGAACTTGTAAGAGTTCTATCTGAGTAACAGAAGCCAAGATGCAAGTGATAGATACAGGCAGGGCAACAAAAGAACAGTACAGTGTAAAACAAAGAAGAATCTAGGAAGTTTAATAATGACATTGTGAGTGCTGGAACTAAAATGCTTAAAAGACATGTGGGAAGTTCACTGTTTTTCTCTGTGTTTAAACTCACAAAACCCCCAACCTGTTCTGACAGATCCTGACAGCCACTCTTACAAAGCATAGTCTGGCTTCAATTCATGTAAAATGAATAAATAGTAAGATTCATTTGACTCAATTTCTGAATTAAAAAAAATAACATAATTATTTGATATTAGTTTTCAGTTGCACTGCTTAAAATCACTGAAGATAAAAATTTGGAATGCATTAATATTTACTTTAGACATACAATTTCAGGGGGCCAAATCTAGGCATCATCTGTTAAAAAAAATAAATATTCTGCCTAGGAAGATAAAGCAGTTTTGAGGAGAGGGTAATAATCACATAGTATTTTTAAGTATTTTCACTGATTTTTTTTTAAATCGGGTTTTCAAGTAATCCTTATCAGATATTTTACGAGCTGTACAAAATTTTATAGTATTCCTCTGTAAAATCAATAATTAAATAAATTCAGAGCATTAAAAAAGACCACCTATGCTCTGCACACAGTCTATGGGAATGCACCATGTTATCACCAAGAAGGCAACCTGAGTGAAAGTTCTGAGAGAATTATGGAAGTGCTTTTACTAACACTTTTATGGACTCCTGCTTACCTTCCATGACAGTGTAAGCAGTCAGTTGAGGACTTACAAAGTTCCAGGAGCTGGAGACTTTGTTAAAGGGAACAAACCAGCCAACTACTCCAGTAGAATGAGTACTGGCCTTTTAGATAGGTGATCATTCCACAGAATCCCCAACAGAAAAATTCAAATGCAAACTTCAGAAAGCTCTGAATTCCTTTGATTTTAGGAAAGATGGGTCTTTAGTTTCAATTCACTGGAAAGCACCTCCACAGTCAGGAGGTTCAGGACTCTATACTGCTTATGTAAGTTCATTAATATGGCTGTAGTGCAGACAAAGTCACAATTTTCACTCTAAGTATCAAATTAATACAATAATTGCTTTTCACGTGAATGACTGCTTTAACTCAATTAGGATGTGACCTGCACATGAATGCAGAAGTTTAGGAAATATCTGAAAATCCTATTTACAAACATATCATTAATTTAGTCCTTTCCTACAGATTTAAACTTTTTACGTAAGATTATAAACAAGAAATCACCTTAAGGATATTAAAAAAGTCCTAAAGTAATGATAAATTTAAATTTATCAAGAATAAGTACACCTAGAACACTACCTAAACTTACTGCCAACATTTGTACAAATTTAAGCTGCTGCCACTAACATAGGAGGTGCAGGACCTCCTAGGCCCTGGATTTCTCTAAGAATAGGTTAATTGATTAGAGGTCATCATTATTATAATTTTTACATACACACAAATCTCTTTCCTGCTGCTGGTCAATACAGCTTTGTTGACAAATGTTCTAGTGTACATGCAGCTATTTTAGCATAAAATGATCTTCAGCTGGCTGAGATTTTCAGTGACATAGATTCAGCTGTACTCTCAAAAGAAATCCTTGACACTTCTAAGCTGTACCCTACAAGAGAGGCTTCCTAATAGTAATTTATCCAAGCAAATGTGTAAGTAGAGCCAAGACCTCCTTTTCAACAGCTAGCTAAACTGTAAGAGGCAGAGAGCATCTCTGAGCTATAACATGCACTGACCTCCTCATACTCAATGCTCACTCATTCACGTGACTTTCTCATTAATGTGTGAAGCACTGTGAGTTTCTATTCACATTGTGTTGTAACAAGGATAAATAAATACTGACTCGAAGCCAGCTGTGGTATTTATTTATGACTACAAAGCACTGTAACAGGGACATCATGATCAAATTTAATGCATGATAGGAATTGCATTGTTTCTTCCCAAGTTATTTTAATAATATTAAGTAATGTGAAGCACCTAATCAATGATGTGTGATGTACGCTCAACCCATCAGGCTAGTAGCAATAGCTGTGCTGGTGGTAGCTGATGAAAAAACAATTATAAATACAATTTTTTATGGAAATAGGAAAGAGAATGAAACACATTATGAATAATTCCAATCTTGACACTGCACATTTTAGGACCATACAATTCAAAAGAACAGCTACCACAGTGAAGACATATTACATAAAATATACTAACAGGTAGAGAGAAAAAAATACACCATGGAGTGCTATCTTTATATTTAGCAGCATTTATTTCTTGTATCATGTAGCTAACTAAAAATAAATCTCTTGAGATTATACAGATTTGGTAGACTGGAAGGTTAAAACTGGAAACAAACAGTAAAGCTGTTGAAAACAGGTTCTATGTTTGAGACGTGAAATTTAAAGTTATAAAATAGACAGGAATTCTGCAAGTAGATTACTCTATATCAGTAACTAGCAAAGTGCGACAACGAAGATTGAATTAAGTTCAAATTGTCATACAGCAATTCAGTAACTTCAGAAATGTAGCCTGGCTTGACCAACACTGAAGAAAGAGCAGAAGGAGACTGGACAATGAAATGCTGAATGGCTCTGACAAAACCTGATTTTCTAAAACATACCAAACATCTACCACAAAAACTACCTATCTCCAGTAATGTGTTACAATCCTATTTAGACATCCAAAACCAGAATCTGGTTTTGGGATGTGTTCTTTTGAAAGAACAATAGGAAAAAATGAAGCCACTTAGATAAAAATAAAATCTCCCTATGGAGAAATCTGAGACCTACAAAATTGAAAGGTCTACATTTTCTTAAGCTACATTTTAATGGATAAAAGGACAAAGCATTACACAAAAATGCTAAATTTCTCATCAGGAAGAGCTGATGAAATTAATCCAGGGGTTATGACATCAGACAGACACATTATGGAAAGAGAGGATTTAGTGAATGACTAGGCCATATAAATGACTGGCAAAGAAGACAACTGTTGATGGTAACTTAAAAACATTAAGCACTCAGAAAATATTATCCTCAAATAGGTTCTGTCTTTTGTCTTGGTTGTGACTGCAGATTTTAAGAATTGCTATAAAATGCTACAGAGAAAGTTACTATCAAGAAAATTAACACAGACCAGAACATTGTCCAATATGACACACTTTTCCTCCAAAATACAACTTATCTTCATGTGCTTTTCCTCTGAATCTGTTAGACTTTAAGTATATTATTTTTATTACCACACAGTTGAAACTGTTATGGCTCATGTGTTTTTTATTAATCTATCACCTCATCAATGCAATTTAAAATCTGAAAAGCCAATTTTATTTAAAAGA